AAAGATTAATGTGTGAAAATTAGCATTTGTCAATGCAAGAAAAACCTAAATTTATATCTAGGAAATAAAAAATATCATCAATAATTTTATTTACATATGTGCTACAAAATAAATGCCAGACAAACACCACAATTTTTAAAAAGATATTATTTTACTTTTATTAATGTGTATGTGCAACTGACAGGCTGTGTGTATGTTCAGGAGAGTGCCGGTGCCTGGGAGGCCAGAAGAGGGCATCAGATGCCTGGAGCTGGGCTTATAACTGCTTGGCAGCCACTGGACATGGATCTGGAACTGAATCCATGTCTTCTAGAAGAGCAGAAAATACTCTTAACTGCTGAGTTGTTCCACCAGCCCTAACAACGTAACTTCTTTTAGGAAGAAAGAAATGCATTTACTGAGCACATCTTGGGGATCATGTGACAAGCTTTGCTCTACATATATGTAGGATTCACTATTAGGGGATAGGTATTTTTTTTAAACCATGTTTTCATAGAAGAGAAATTGAGGTTCAGACAAGCTCAATGAATTTCTTAAAGTCACACAACTTACTTACAGACAAAGTCAGAATTGAAGATCATTATGATTCTTAAGTTCAAGTTATTTCTGCCTCCTCATAAGTCCCACTGGATTTGAACTAAAGAGACCTAGTTCAAAATTGTTTGTTACATAATACTAGTTGCACAGAAGTGAGTGAGCCTTCACTTCCTTAAGTATATGATAGAGACAGCAGTGCCACTGTATAACGCTTCTGCTAGAAGGAATGAGAAGATGTGGACTCAACTGAGTTATTTGCAGCTTCTAGCCTGCTCCCACTTCAACATATTTGATACAGTACAGCTCAGTTCTTTCAAATTACATGTTTCACTTGTATTTCACTTTGCAAATTTTCAATGATTCTCCAAGACCTTAGAATATAAAATTTTGCTGGGCGGTGGGGCGCACACTTTAATCCCAGCACTCGGGAGGCAGAGCCAGGTGGATCTATGTGAGTTCGAGGTCAGCCTGGTCTACAGAGCAAGATCTAGGACAGGCACCAAAACTACAGAGAAACCCTGTCTCAAAAAAAAAAAAGAATATAAAATTGTATATCAGTTTTGTTTTAAATTTACATATTCAGCTTCTCATAATAAAACTTTAGCTTTAGTCAAATTAATTTACTTCCATACCCACAAATCAACATGCACAATGTCTTGCTTTTAATTAAAATAAAATATGTATGTTACTATTTTAACTATTTTTATTTACAATTCAGTGACATTAGCTAGTAATACACTTACATTGCTGAATGACCATCATCCCACTTTTCCAAGCAACATTTCACAACGTATGTTGAACGTTTCTCACAACTTCTGCTTATGACTCTTGGTCTTGTCCTAGATCTGACTCAGAATTCCGCATCAATGAAATCTTCTTCTTCTTCTTCTTCTTTTTTTTTTTTAGCTGAGGATCGAACCCAGGGCCTTATGCTTGCTAGGCAAGCGCTCTACCACTGAGCTAAATCCCCAACCTGAAATCTTCCCATTTTTGTATCACAAGTAGAGAGGCAGTTTCCTACGGGTACAAGTACAGACTCTGGGTCAGGTTGTTGGAGTTCAGGTTCTATATAAGTTACTTCCTGGTTATATCACCTTGGTCAAGTGAATCAAACTTGTGGAGACCTAGGTATTTCTACAAGGGATTTTTAAAGTGTGTGTCCCCACACACACTTGCACATGAATGCTTACAGCAATTTTTTTCATAACCACCCCAGACTATTAGCAAACAAGATGTCTTCAATTGGTAACTAAGCAAACTATGGCACAATCATATAATAAAATGCTACTCAGTGATGACAATAAATGATCTTTCAAGCTATGAAAAAACATGAAGGAAACTCAAATGCATATTGTTGAGTGTATTAGTTACTTTTCTGTTGCTGTGTTAAAATGCCCTGACCAAAGCAAATTAAAGAAGAAAGGGTTTATTTTGGCTTACGGTTGCAGAAGGATGGTCCACGACAGTAGCAGGAACAGGGCAATGGCCCATCACATTTTCATTTGTACACAGGAACAGGAAATTCAATGAAGTTATAGGCCCTCAAAGCCTGCTCTGCAGTGAAGCAGTCTTTTAGTAAGGCTAGTCTAACTCCTAAAGCAGTGGTCCTCAACCTTCCTAATGCTGCGACCCTTCAATACAGTTCCTCATGTTGTCGTGACACCCCAACCATAAGATTATTTTTGTTGCTACTTCATAACTGTAATTTTGCTACAGTTATGAATCATGATGTAATATCTGTGTTTTCCAGTGGTCTTACATGACCCCTGTGAAAAGGTCATTTGATTCCCAAAGAGGTCATGACCCACAGGTTGAGAATCGTTGTCCTAAAGCTTCCATAACCTCCTCAAACAGTGCCATTAACTGGGGACAGTGTTCAAATACCCTATAGGGACATTTCTCATCTATACAACCACACTAAAGTACACGGGCCTGCCGGGCAGTGGTGGCGCATGCCTTTAATCCCAGCACTCGGGAGGCAGAGCCAGGTGGATCTCTGTGAGTTCGAGGCCAGCCTGGTCTACAGAGCGAGATCCAGGAAAGGTGCAAAGCTACACAGAGAAACCCTGTCTCGAAAAACCAAAAAAAAAAAAAAAAAAATAGTACACGGGCCTAAAAAGGCTGTAGTGCACATGACTCTAAGTATATCACATTCTGAAAAAGGCAAGACAATGAGATCAGTGGGTCCCAGAAGTTAAACTGGTTGGAGGGAGGAATGGCTAAATAGAGGAGAGGGAGGTTTTAGTATAAACCAGTCTTACTGACACTATAATGTTACATATAGGACCTTGTCCTGTGCTATTAATTACTAAGCCATTTCTCAGGTCCAAACTATTATGTTTTTAAAACACTAATATCTTCATGTTCTGAAAATAAGATTCATTTATGTGTTATTATCTGCCATTAAAAATGTCACTTTTGATGGGGCTGGAGAGATGGCTCAGTAGTTAAGAGCACTGGCTGCTCTTCCAGAGGTCCTGAGTTCAATCCCCAGCAACCATGTGGTGGCTCACAACCATCTGTAATGAGATCTGATGCCCTCTTCTGGCTGAAGGCATACATGCAGATAGAGCTCTCATATACATAAAATAATAGCCAGGCAGTGGTGGTACACACCTTTAATCCCAGCACTTGGAAGGCAGAGGCAGGTGGATCTCTGTGAGTTCAAGGCCAACTTGGTCTACAGAGCGAGATATAGGACAGGCACCAAAACTACACAGAGAAACCCTGTCTCGAAAAAAAAAAAGTCACTTTTGCCTGTGTATACAGAGTGTTAAACATGAACTTAACTCTGAACACTGGGTTCAACCCTTGGCTCAAAATGTGTGTGTGTGTGTGTGTGTGTGTGTGTGTGTGTGTGTGTGTGTGTGTGTGTAGTACTTTCACACTTGATAAATTGTATCCATAGCTCTCATTGGTTTCAGGTGGGTCACTCCAAAATAAATCTTGATCATCTTGATGCTCCATGGATACTTCTGGCATACAGACTTTAATGGAAAAGTATTATTTGATAGTTTCTAGACTAAACAATTGCTGCTCTGGTTTATGGTATTGAACTCTAGAACACTGGCAGCCTATTTGTAGTTTACAGTGGAACACAACTGACTCTCTGAAGACAACCTCATCCTTATTCCTAGCTTGACTACTCTGGCATGACTCCAAGCACCAGGTGGAGTGATTTTCTATCCAGCTAGCTTTTTGCATGTTTTAATATTCAGTAGAAAATGTCAGTGCTTCCTCTAGTTCTGCTGATTATTAGAACATAAAGCACTATATTCAATTAACAATAATGAATCTTTGTATTCTAGATTTTGGAGGGGGTGAATTTCAAATTCACAGCTGCTCACTATTTTCTCAACACTCAGTTAAAAGTAACCCTGAGGAGGGCTGCCTGCAGGATGGCAGTCATCCACTTGTCTGGTACACTAAAATCTACCTCTATGCGAAGAAACCACATAGAGACTCTTACCTAGAAAGGCCCACATTCAAGCAGCCGTGCCCCCCAAGAAATAGACAATAGGCCTGTATCTATGACCCAGTACCTGCACCTGCTTCGGGTGAGATTGTACTCAGGAAAGCAAAATGTAGGCATAGCTTTAATTCTGTTTTTGAAAAGATTTGCTTAATTTTTATTTTATGCATTTGGATGTTTTGCCAGCCTGTGCACCACATGTGTGCAGTACCTGTAGAGGCCAGAAGGGGGCGTTGGATCCCCTGGAACTGGTGTTAATAGCTGGTTATGAGATAGCCTATGTGGTGTTCTCTGGCCTCCAGACTTGTACACACACACACACACAAATATATACACTTCCCCCAACCCTGCCATATACAAATAAATACATTTTTAAAAGATATGGAATGCAAACGAGGCGGCCGAGCAGCAGACGCCAACATGCAGATCTTTGTGAAGACCCTGACGGGCAAGACCATCACTCGAGGTCGAGCCCAGTGACACCATTGAGAATGTCAAGGCCAAGATCCAAGATAAGGAAGGCATCCCGCCAGACCAGCAGAGGCTGATATTTGCCGGCAAGCAGCTGGAGGATGGCCGCACCCTGTCGGACTACAACATCCAGAAAGAGTCCACCTTGCACCTGGTGCTGCGCCTGCGTGGTGGAATCATCGAGCCGTCCCTTCGTCAGCTCGCCCAGTACAACTGTGACAAGACGATCTGCCGCAAGTGCTATGCACGCCTGCACCCCCGTGCGGTCAACTGCCGCAAGAAGGGCGGCCATACCATCAACCTGCGCCCCAAGAAGGTCAAATAAAGCTGGGGCCATACCTGGCCCGTGACCCCGGGACCAAATAAAGTCCCCTTCCATCGACTGGAGCAGTATAAATAAATAAATAAATAAATAAATAAATAAATAAATAAGTAAGTAAGTAAGTAAGTAAGTAAGTAAGTAAGTAAATAAATAAATAAATAAATAAATAAATAAATAAATAAATAAATAAATAAAATAAAAAATATGGAATGCTTTGTGCAAATCTGGTTTTCAGCCTTATACAAGGGCTAGGTTAGTCTTCTCTGTTTCATTTCAATTTTAGTATATGTGCTGTTGTACAGAACACCAACATCCACTATTCTGAACTTTATCTTTGGAGTTATACTTTACCAAGAGGGATATCTGCCTTCTGAGGTAGTGTAAGTAACAGGTTAGCCACTGCTTAATATCAGTCTTCAGTTGCCCAGTCTGCCACACCTGCTCTGAAGTCAGTGGGCTGCTATGTTGTGTTTATGTTGTGTGTGCACCACTTTTATCATTTACCAGGATTAGTAATTGTAGCTATCATAAAAAACAACTCTTAAATCTCAGTCTTATAAGCCAATAAGGATTATTTTTTGCTCTAGTAAATCCAATGAGGGTAAGTGATATGTTCAGTGTAATCATTCAGAGACCTAATGTCCTTCCATCTAGTGTTGCTAATGAGAAGGCCAGGCAAATACCATAACAGGCTCCTAATAACTCAGTTAAAAAGTAGGTCTCAGCTCCTGCCTCTTGAAATGAGGGGAACTGACTTACTAGGCTTGGGCCACCCCCACCTCTCACTCTCCCCCCCCCCCACAGGTAATAACTAAATAAGGACATAGCCTGAGACTTATTCAGACTTGCCCAAGAATGGAAAAGCTACAGCCTTAGCCCACCCCTCCTAGTCCTAACCAATTAGAAACGTACTAATATGATTGCCACTTGCATAAGCCAATCCTAGATAGAAAGATCTCATTGCCTTAGAAATTCCTTCAGCTGTATGTAAAAGGAGCCTGGGAGCTTCTCTCAGGGTTGCCATTTGCCAGTTTGTCAGATGGTTAGATCCCCAACAGGCTGGTAATTTTTAATAAATGCTCATGCTGATTGCATTGTGACTAGTGGTCTTTTATGGAACTTTTCATGGATACTAACACTGCCACCCCCCTAGCTTCCCAGGCTTTTTATCCTAGCTACATTAAAAAACAAACAGCAACTCTAAATAGGTTTACATTGGGTGAACCCTATATTTTTTGTTTGTTTGTTTTGAGACAGGGTTTCTCTGTGTAGCTTTGGTGCCTTTCCTGGAACTCACTCTGTAGCTCAGGCTGGCCTTGAACTCACAGAGATCTGCCTGGCTCTGCCTCCCGAGTGCTGGGATTAAAGGCGTGCACCACAACCACTGCCCGGAACCCTACATTTTTACTAGCTACATAGAGTCATAAGGCCTGAGATGGATCCAAGAGTAGTAGGGAATGAGTTTCATGGATGGAAGGAGGAAATAAGGTAGCCAAAATACACCATTGTCTTTGCTTTTCAGTTGCTGATGACAACTCAAAGTGGCTTTGTTGAAAGGAAAACCTTATTCTTTACCCTCTTAGGTTCAGTTATTGAGGGCATGAGTATTAGCCTGAAGGTTAGCAGGAGAAGATGCATATTTAAATTACTGTCTGTAAAGGAGTCCGAAAGAACTTGGGTCTTAGATAGTTCCCTAAGGGGAGGGAGAGAACAAATTGGAAAACAAAGGACTTCTTAGAGTTGGGGCACTGAAAGGGCACTTACAGGAGATAGATGATGTGATATGCAGGAAGGCTATGCTGGCCCTTTGGGAACAGAGACAGTATGAAGGTTTTGCCTTGATGTCTGTTTTGGTGTGGGGTCAATTCTCATGGTCTCTGATAACAGGAGCCAACCTTTTCCGTTGCTCTCTGGAAGGGACTCATAATGTGGGAGCCCCAAAATAGCTTGACACAGCTGCCATGACAGGCTTACTGGCAGGTACCACCTGGTCCCCAGAAAAAGCCATAAGCTAACCTCACCCCGGGAGGGCCAGCATCTAAGGGGAAATACCTGACATTCCAAACATTCCCAGCACACACCCCTAGGCAAATGTCAGCCAATCCTGAACCCTGGAAATGCCCTCACCCCAGCCTCTGTTATGATAAAAACCCCACCCCACGCCTGTTTGGGTCTCTCTGCTCTCTCTGACCATGCAGAGTCCAAGCTCAAGCTTGAATAAAGGCTTTTTGCTTTTGCATATGGTTGGTCTCTGTGGTGGTCTTTTGAGGGGTCCCCGAGATCTGGGCATAACAATAACAATTGGATTATTTGGGATTATTTTGAAAGGTTCCACTTTGGGATAGATACAAGATTCTGGGAGCTCAAATGCATTCAATTAAATACATGACAGCAACTTCTCTTGGAATTCTTCAGTCTGAATAACAGGGAGAATTTAACCCATATAACAAAGAACTCTAGAGGTATCACAGGATTTGCCTAACCATCCAGGGTATCGGTTAAATCACATGACTAAGAAGTCCAACGAGAGCAAGGGGTTCAGGCTGTGTTTGATCTTGAGGTTTATGAGGCTCTTTGGAATTGACTTCCTTTCCTTGATCTTTCTGGTCCTTCCCACTCCCTGTGCTAGCTTTATCAGCAGCTGGCTCTCTTCAGTGGCAGAAGAATAAACAAAGATTACACTGCTTCCTGTGCTCATCCTCTAATACTACACTATCCAGAGGAAGAAAAAAAAATCTTGTTTCCCTGCATTCAGACAAGAGTCCTGAGCTTCATGTTGACAGACTTCCATGTTAGGTCCAAAGGAAACTCCAGTTCCCCAAACTCTAAAAGGCAGTCCAGTGAGCTCAACCTGGGCTATAGGAAGATCTCTCATGGTTAGAAAAAAGCCAGCATTCCTCAGGAACTTGTCTAACCAGTTAGTTCCCATCTATCAAAAAACAGTCACTTCCCTTACTTCTGGCAGAAGGGACAATGCAACCCGAGGTGCCTATTAGCATATCAAAGCTCACTCTGGCCTCCAGGATCCTTCAGTATCACAAGTACCTGTTACACACTTCAAAGTCCATACAAGGGGTCTAGCCCTTCCCATCTCCTCCCCCACGCTAAACTCCCTCCTGTTCACAGCTTCCCTTCCCCCAGCTGCTCACTCTCCATATAACCCTGCTATTCTCGCTCTCTGCTCTGCTTGGCTTCTCTCTCTCTCTCTCTCTCTCTCTCTCTCTCTCTCTCTCTCTCTCTCTCTCTCCCCTTCTCTGTTTATGTTCTCTCTATTCTCTATCCCCTGCTGTTCTCCCCTCTCTCACAGTTAGCCCCGGCCAGGTCCAGTCTGCTGGCCATGTTCATTCTACTTCTTTCTCTCTCTGCTCTGGACTCTTCTAGATGCCTCTGGCTGTTCTCTCTCATGTCTACAATGAAACAATCCCCTTCACCATACCATGGAGTGGTCACGTTTCAACACCCTGAAACAAGAACTGTCATTGGCAGAGTGCCAGGTCAGTCTGACTCAAACAGGCACCCAGAAACTGCTAAAAAGCATGGATTTCTCACTTCTGTGCACAAGGAAACTAAATTCAGGGAAAAACCTAGCACCTTTGCCTTAATTTTGTGTGCTTGATTTATTTGGGGTCAACTGTTTACCTACCTGCAGGTCAGCTTGTTAACTACTTAAGGAGTATCTGTGTAACCTGGCTCATCCTTCTGTTAGAAATAATTCCAGAGTCACAAAGAAGGAGACTACTGTAATAGGCTCCAAGACCTAACATGGCTCAACTGATGCCATGTGAGAGGTACCATTCTGGCCTTAGAACCCAGCACATAGGCCCCAACACCTAAAGACCTATTCCATAGTTCCAGAAGTCTCTAAACGTACTCATCTCACTTCTCCATAACTGTTCTTGCTAACCTAAGTATGTCAACAAGATGTGGAATTTGTGCATAAAGGACACAGAATTGTGAGGCTCCGGACTGCATGATGTGGGCAAGTTCTCCATGCAGCTGCCAGCCGGCAATACAGATTTTCTGTTCAGCTTTAAGAGTGTCTGTGTGTTTTCTATCGCTCCCATCCTCCCACCCCACCCCACCCCCCTTTCCCCTGATTTATGTGTTTCAACAGGCAAAGCTTTACATCTCATCAGAAGGGTACACTCTGCTCTGCTCACAGAAAACAAACAACCAAACAAACAAAACAGGGGGCACTCTGGGACGGGAAGTTTACATGGTTTTTATTCTAATCCAAGTGGTAACTGTCTTTTTCCCACTGACTGGAGTACAACTTCACAGTCTTCCATGATTGGTTAGTTTTAGAAGAATCAGGGAAAAGAAAAAGAAGGAGAGTAGAAAGCAGTCCCTTACAAAAGTCACTTCAGTTAGGAGAACGCAGTAAACAAAAGTTTTAGCAGGTGGGGCAGAATTCAAACATTTGCACAAAGGTTTTACTAGGTGGGGGAAGATGAAAAGATTTGATTTGAAAAGTTTCATAGTGTTTCACAGAGACAGAAGAAAAACCCTAATGTTTACTGTTTCTTACTCTCCTTAAGGCTGAAGTCAGAGAGGTAAGTCATCGTTAAATTTCAGGGAGAACAAAGCCTCATTGGATGGACCCTCTGTAGATGACGATCATCTCCTGGAAAGTCAGCTTTTCCCTGCAAGCACTAAGAACTTCCTCAGACCAATTTACAGGAACTAGACAATGGTTCTCAACCTGTGTGTTTTGACCCCTTTGGGGTCAATTTAGGATATCTTGCATATCAGATATTTACATTACTATTCATAACAGCAGCAAAATTAAAGCTATGAAGTAGCAATGAAATTTAAAATAAATTTTTTTTTAAAGATTTATTTATTTATTACGTATCTCATTAAAGATGTTTGTGAGCTACCATGTGGGTGCTGGGAATTGAACTCAGGACCTCTGGAAGAACAGCCAGTGTTCTTAACCTCTGAGCCATCTCTCCAGCCCTAAAATAAACTGTTTTAAATGCATTGGTGTTTTGTGTGCATGTATGTCTGTATGAAAATGTTGGATCCACTGGAACTTGAGTTACAGACAGTTGTGAGGGGCCATGTGGGTGTTGGGAATTGAACCTGAGTCCTCTGGAAGAGCAGCCAGTGCTCTTAACTGATGAGCCATCTCTCCAGCTCACAACAAAATAATTTTATGGTTGGGGGCTGTGATAGCTATTCATCGTTGTCAACTTGACTCTATCTGGAATGAACTACAGTACAAAAATAGAGGGCACACTTGCGATCCGGAACTTGAGGCAGATAGACAACATGGCTTTTGTTCAGATCTTGATGCCGGAAGGCATACCTTTAATCTGGGCCACATCTTCTGCTGGAAGCCTATAGAAGGACAAAGGAAGAGGAAGGGATTATTAGTCTTCACCTGCTTGCCTGCCTTCCCCTTGTCAACACATCCATTCCTTCACTGGCACTGAAGACTACCTCTTTGGGATTCCAGCATATATAGAAGACCAGCTGAGACACCAGCCTTGTGGGACTAAGAAACTACTAGATTCTTGGATTTTCATTCATAGCTAGCCATTGTTGAACTGCAGCCTGTAAGTCATTATATGTATGTGTGTATTGTTAGTTATTTGGTGGCGCTCTTACCCTGTGAGGAAATGTCACAAAACACGACAGAATCCACTAAGGAGAGTTTTATTAAGATGAAAGGACAGACAAGTGCTCAGGCCTGCGGAAGAGACATGTGTGTGGAGAAGAAGAAGGAAGCCGGGAATATGGCGCCAGCTTATAAAGGCTGGGTGGCACACGCATACACAGGTCGATGTGGCTACTCTACGTATGTGCGTAGATCACATGGTTGCGTTATGTGCTCTTACGCAACCATGCAAAGCCATGAGGTCCTGGTCATGTGAGACGCCTTGGCCGGGAAATGGCTATTTTGACCCAGAACTGGCTAGGCGGAAGTGTCTAGGTCCGCTGGACGTGCCCAAATGTGGGGGCGTGTTGTGAATCTATCATATATATATATATATATATATATATATATATATATATATATACACACACATATATATTCATTCTATGCTATATATATACTATATATATATTCATTCTATAAGTTCCATGACTCTAGAGAACCCTGACTAATACAGGGGTCATGATAAAGTTAGGAACTGTATTAAAGGGTCACAGCATTAGGAAGGTTGAGACCCATTGAGCTAGACGGAACAGGACCAGTAAGACCATACCTAGGGCTGCTTAATTATGTATACACCTTGTCCTTGCTACAGTTCTTCCTCTATTTAAGAGTTCAAATTGTGAGACCAAAATGAGCCATCTTAGAAATAAGACCAAAATGCTTTCACCCTAAAATTAAGGCCTAAGATTTCTCCTTTTAGGAATAGGCCATTAGTTACTGAAACCAGTCAGTTCAGATTCCAGAAACCAGGAAGTGTAAAAGTATAGAGTCACAAGATAGTCATGAGGTAATGCCTGCCGGACTATGGAATGTCCTCTCCCTGGTTTCCAGGGTAACTGACCATAAAAATGCCCCCACCTGAGGGCAGCCAATGAGAAATGGTGGCGGGCAACCACTCCCTTAGAAGTAAGATTAAGTCATGATTTCTAGAAAGCCCCTAGAAGCAAGCCAATCAGAATTGCACCCATACTAGCACCCCTAAACGAAGTAACCTTGTGATTTTTCCCTTTAAAAGCTGAGCTTGCAGATAGGTGGGCACTCCTCCAGCCTCCACTGCGTTGGATGTATTGGACGAAGTCCCTGCCTAGGCTTGTATTGCTTTCAGATATCCAGAATTAAACCTTGCTTTTGCATTCCGGCATGCTCGTCTTTGGTGGTCTCTCTGGGGGTTGTGATCTGGGCACAACAAAATCATTTCAGTTCTACAAAGATAGACGTGGGGTTGGGTCACTGGACTCCTCCATCTGCTCCTCTTCCCAATGTGGCCACACAACAAATCTTTCTCAGTTTTTTTTCTCATCTCTTTGGTTGGCGTACTAGAGTGGGTGATTCAGCCTACCTTGTTGGGGTTACTAGATCCCAGCCAGGTTTTTACCCTAAAGACAGCAGGGCCATCTTTGAACCTGCTTTAGGAGGATATTAATTAATTCTGCCCCCAAACTACATGGGTAAAGACAGAAGAATTGTGGGATGGAAGCTGGAAAACTGTATCTGTCACAATCAGTTAGGGACCAGTGATCGGCATGACCTCATGCAAGGAGAGTGGGTAGTATGATGGTACCCAGAGCTGAATACATAGCATGTAAGAGAGGTTAGAGGAAGCAAAGCACTTAAAAACAAAAGGAAGGTGTGGGAAGTGAGTCAAGAGAGCCAAGAGAGAGATATTCTAGTGAAGCAAGATATAGGGGCATGAGGGGTGGGGAAGGACTTCAGAGTCTGAAGCTTCTCACCAACTGAGAATCAAGAATTCCACAAAATCAACAAAATTTTCTGTGAAGGCTGTCAACATAAATACAACATTCCTCTTATAGTAAGACATTTTCAGGTTAGGAATGTTGAAGTAGGAATTAGCCATACTCAAGGTCAAAGGCTGTTTGACCTTCGAGTGAGGGCTTACTCCTTTCCTAGGGATTTTCTGGCATCTCACAAACAAGTGTCATCCTTTATTTACAGTAAAAATATTTCAGCTTCCTACAAACCTGATGACCTGCTCACCTTATCAGCTGTGGTCCCACCCAATGTCTATTAGAAACGAAAAGAAGAAAGGTTCCTTAGCAAGCAAGCTCTTGAAAGCAACTTCACCAAAAATGGTACATATGGCTTCTGTAAAATGCTCATTGTCTGTGTGTTAGGAACAGAGGACTGTATAAGCCAGTTTATGTTTAGACCAAATAGCGCTGGTATAGATATTCAGTATGGGCCAAGATGGTGAATGCTACACTTTGGCAAGGGGTGTGAGGTGTGGGTGGTAGTGAGTCAGCACAAGATGACTCAAGTCGGATGTATGGGGAGCCCAAATGTAAACAGTACTGCAGTGATGTAATCTGTCATAACTATTCCTGGCAGAATGCCATTTTTGTGTGATTCTGCATAAATATTGTCTTGGTGTCTAAGCACTGGCCTTTGCCTAGACCAGCCTGTCTTCTGTCTTGTAGGCCTTTATGTAAGTCTGTGTGTGTGTGTGTGTGTGTGTGTGTGTGTGTGTCTGTCTGTCTGTCTGTGCTTGGCTCATATGTGCATTTGTGTGCCTGAGGGTTTGATGTATCTGCATATCTAGAGACCTGTGTGTTGGTAAACAAGCTGTCTTATTTGCCTGCAACTCCTCCTTTCAACCTCCCAGCTTCCAATAACACCCTTCCTTTCCTAGCATTGGAGTGTGGGGCTCATGAACATACATATTATGATACATACTACTGTAAGAAAGAGATTGTTATAGTCCGTTTCCAATATTACCCTCCTTCCATAGCTGCTGTTGTTTGTTTATTCTCTTTTGAAAGGCCCGCCACCCAGCTCCCAAATAAATTCACACACGGAGGCTTATTCTTAGTTAATGAATGCCTGGCCTCAGCTAGCCAGCTTTTCTTTATTTCTTTTTTTCGTCTTGACACAGAGTTTCTCTGTGTAGCTTTGGAGCCTTTCCTGGAACTCTCTCTGTAGACCAGGCTGGCCTCGAACTCACAGAGATCCACCTGCTTCTGCCTCCCAAGTGCTGGGATTAAAGGTGTGCCTTACCACTACCCCACTGTGGCAGGAAGATAAATAATTTATACATGCAAGTAAGAAGGCATCTCCATAGCTGGGCGGTGGTGGCCCACTCTTTTAATCCCAGCACTCGGGAGGCAGAGGCAGGTTCATCTCTGTGAGTTTGAGGCCAGCCTGGTCTACAGAGTGAGTTCCACGACAGCCAGAGCTGCACAGAGAAACCCTGTCTCAAAAAACCAACCAACCAAACAAACAAACAAACAAAAAAAGGCAGCTCCTATAAATTGGATTAGGAACATGTGGACAGATGAGCATATTAAAAGTCAAGAAAAAAAATACCAGTCCTGAGAATTTGTGGAACACAATCATGTCAATCGGAAGCAATATGGATCATGAAAGGAGGCAAACTGTGATGGCTTTCTTGGTTGTCAACTTGACTACATCTGTAATTAACTAAAACCTCTAAATGGAGGGCACATTTGTGAGGGGTTTTTGCTTAACTTCTACTCTGTATCTTTGAGATAGGAAGACACACCTTTAATCCAGATCATTTGAGTTGGAGAACCCCACCTCTACCCTGATCACATCTTCTGCTGGAAGCCTACGTAAGGACATGGAAGAAAAAAGCTTTTGCTCTTGGCCTGCTTGCCCTTGCCTTGCTAGCAATTCCATTCCTTCACTGGCATTAGAGTCTGCTTCTTCAGGGTATACCAAAGACCATCTGAGACATCCGGCCTGGACTGAATTCTTGGACTTTCTGTTCATAGCCAGCCATTGTTGGATTAGTTGGATTAGTATTAGATTCTATTAAAACCCCTTTCTTTGTACATAGATTCATTCTATAAGTTCTTTACTCTAGAGAACCCGGATTAATACAGGCACCTAACACTGAGATAGTGACTGCATTGGACACCTGTCACCTGACCACTTGGTGTCTGTTTCCAGGAAGTGACAGGCAGTCAACTCCTAACTATTCACACTGCTTGACTTCAAATGTCATCCTTATGTCTTTCTGATGGGTCTTGCTCCTTGCTTGCCTCTATGCCTCTGCAGACTGGTTCTGCAGCCCCGGCTCTGCGGGGTTCCTGCGGGGTTCCCAGATACCTTTTCTAACCACCGGCAGTGACTCAATTTGCATCGGTATCAGCTTTCTGCTTTTGTCTCCTTTGAAATCTGCTGTGGCCTCGTTAAACCTTCTGTAGCCATTCTCTATGTGTGAAATGTAATGTGTTAGTAATTAAGACCGGAATAAAAGAAGTTGTGATTGCCAACAGACCCCTACCTACGGAGAAATATAGGCTGCTTGGCAGAAAATAGCTAATGAAACCCTCATAGTATTTGCGTTTATGTGTGTTTGTGTTTTGCCTGCATAATGGTCTGTGCGCCACTCTAGTGCCTGGTGCCTGCCGAGGCCAGAAGAGGGCGTCAGATCCTCTGGAACGGGAGCTCCGGACAGTTGTGAGCAGCCACGTGGGTGCTGAGAACCCAACCTGGGCCCTCTGGAAGAGCAACAAGAGCAACACGGGCTCTTAACCCCTGAGCCTATCTCCAGCTCTCACGAATCTAGTGTTGTGTTAAAAAACGGACAGCGTGGAAACACACAGACGTCCATCTACGTTTCTGACAAGCTCGGAGTCAGTTTCCTCACAGATCTGACTTGCAAAGTGTCATAATAAATGCATCGGCCATTTTTTTTTTTTCTCTCTCTTTTCCAATCACAGGCTACCATTCCTACGACAGGAATGAAGAAGATATCCAAACAAAAGCGTACGTTAAAAAAAAAAAAATCTGTCAGCATCACAGAAACTGAATTCCTGTTCCTCTCAGGTTCCCTCTTCCGTGCCCTTTGAGCCTCGCTCGCCCACGGGCGTCCGGAATCCACGGCTGAGTGCCCACCGCTTCCAGGCCTGAGGTGGCCGAAGAGCGAGCAAGCACCACGGCCTACCTCAGCCCGCTCGCTCCCGGAGTGGCCTCTCCGGCTGCCCGGGTGGCCCGGCCGGCCCCGTGGCCTTCGAGGGCCCGCGACGCGGCGCCCACGCCCGCGCTCGCCTCCCGCCTCGGCGGGAACCCGGCGGGGAGCGCGGACGCGCGAGGCCGGCTCGGAGCCTACCCATGAGGCAGCGCGCCGCGGCTCGCGACGCCCCCTCCCCCCCGCTCGCGGCGCCCGGCAGCCAGCTCCGCCATGGGAGCCGCCGCGGCTGCGGCGCCCGGCCCCGCGCTCCTCCCTCGCCTCCTCCTCTTTCTCCTCCTCCTCAGGGCTCCAGTCAGGCCGAGCCGCTCCGCTCACGGTAAGCGCCCCCCGCCCCGCGCGGCCGCCCGCCCGCCCGCGAAGGCCCTCCCGCGCGGCCGCGCCGCCGCACTCCGGGGGCGCGGGGTGGGGGTCTCGGGCCGCGGCGCGTCGGCGGGAGCGCCCGGGCCGGGCAGGGGCCGGCTGCGCGTGGGGCCGGCCCGCCATCTTGCCGGGCCTGGCTGGCGCGGGAGGGATCCCGGCGCGACGAGGCGAGGCGGACGGCTGAGCGGCGCGGCCCACCGTCCAGGCCCGGCCGGCCTGCGCCTCGGCTCGCCCGCCGCCGCCGCCGCCGCGCAGCGCAGGCCCCCCGCGCGTCGCGCTCTCCTCAGCCGGGCTTGGCTCTCCGGAGACGGCTCCCCTCGGTCCTTTGTACCTTGTCCGCGGGGGTGTGTGTGGCGGAGACCCGAGCTCCTCACAGAAACAGTCCCCTCGACTCCTCACGCAAGAGCCGAACCCCCACGGCGTCCGCAGTAACAGCCGCCGAGGGCCGGCCTGGGCAGGCTCACAGCCTTCTCTGTTGTCAAAGGGATGTCCCCGCTCTGTCACCCAACTCCCGTTATTGTCTGCACGAGAAGGGCGCTGAGGAGCGAGTCGGACAGATTCCCCCACCCCACCCCCCCAGCCGAGCTTTGCAGGTTCCACTTGATAAACCACAAACGAGTGATTGCATTTTGAGGTTTTTAGGCTGCTCAAGAGATGGTGTTTTCACCACTCACCTGCAGTGCTTAAAACATTAGGAAATACTCTAGAGAGAAAAAAATGGACGTTAACCTGCTGCGAGCATGGAGACCTTTGACTTCGCCAAGATCAGGTTTTCCATTAAGTCTGCCATACTTAAACATTCGGCTTTGTTGTTTCCAAGTTTGGAATGAATCCTCTAAATAACGGGACGTCTTTTAGTGCCCTTAAGCAGAAAATCACGCGAGGGAAATAGAAAGTACAAAAGCCCCCTCTTGGCATTTGTAAGGTAGCCTGCTTTGGGAGATGGCTGTACCAACTCAGGCTGCTGGGATGTAAAGAATAGGACCGTGAAGGGATTGGTTTGAGCACCTTGTGCTTTTGATTGTCCAACGTCTGCACTAACGTCATTGTAATTTTTTCTTGCATTGGTATCTGCCATTGATGTCACTTGATGTATTCCTTTGGGCCCCTTTCCAATGGGGAGAGCTGTTTTGAAGGTCAGCCTCAGAGATGACTTCAATGGAAAACCTTGGCTCCCGGGGCCAATTTCAGTGCTCACCTCACTATTTGTGTGCCCCATTTTCGTTACAATGAGATGGGTGAGAATAGGCGAGGAGGCATAGGCCTCCATATTGAAGACATTCTCTTCACTTTACCATTCTTTCACATTTTAATTTTTGAGATCGTATATATCTTTGGATGTTACTAGTGATCATGTTGTTTCAAATGTAATGGAAATTTGAATATAGTGCATTCAGATGCCTACCACCTAGTGTGACTATTTGTAACCATCTTGCTACAGTTGCTTTGTCTGTCTGCTGAATATGTGAATGTTTGCAGATGTGACAGTTCACCCCTAAGTACTGGATGTGTATATCAGTGAATAAAAGATAAAAGCCATTTTCCTGTATACTATAACACAGTATGATCGTCATACCCAAGAAGGATAAGAATATTTGCTGTAATTTGATAAATGTTTGTAGTACATATTTTTTACACTGTTTCATAAATTATGAGGGATACTTAACGTGGGAGACTATTAGTAATCCTAGCTTTGGTCTCTTAGTTAAAATGTTGACTCTTGAAACTTTTTCTTTTGCAATTAGCATGTAATCTGTTTTAGTGCTTAGCATGAATTTACCTGCATCTGTCTGATAAAATGGAGACGTTCTCTAGGAATGAGGAGGCTCATGAAGAAGAGGAACAGTTTTGAAGAGTAGAATGTGCTCAGTTTAAGAAACTTGGAATTGGCTGGGCATGGTGGTGCAAGCCCTTAATCCCAGCACCCGGGAGGCAGAGGCAGGCGGATCTCTGAGTTCCAGGATAGGCTCCAAAGCTACACAGAGAAACCCTGTCTCAAAAAAACCAAAAAAAAAAAAGAAAAGAAAGAAAGAAAGAAACTTGAAATTGGCCAGATGTGGTGCGGCATGCTTTTAATCCCAGCACTCTGGGAAGCAGAAACAAGTGGATCTTCCTATGTGGACTAGGCCAGCACTGTGGTGTAGTGAGACATTCTCTCAAACAAACAAAATCCCTTGGAATTGTTTCTACCCTGTAAGAGGTAAGGAGAGAACAGTTGGAAAACATCTTTGAGAGTTTGGAGTTTTGAAGCAATAGTGAGCTATGATGAGTTAAAATCTAAGGAGATTTGTTGTGAGTGAACTATAGATCTTAGTATCTCATTTCTCTAGTTTAAGCCTAGTATGCACACCATTAGTGGAGTGTTTTTCTTCTCAACGTTACCTTGTTACCTTTTTTAGTAAAGAAGTGTAAGTAGAAGAATAAATAATTAGCATGCCTCTTGTATTTACTCAATAGAAAATTTATAACTATACATTTTTGTTGTTGTTTTTTGAGACAGGGTTTCCCTATAACAGCTCTGGCTGTCCTGGAACTGGTCCTGTAGACCAGGCTGGCCTTGAACTCACAGAGATCTGTCTGCCTCTGCCTCCCCAGTGCTGGGATTAAAGGCATTCACTACCAGCTCTTGGCATATTCTCCCTCGCTTAAAAACAAAAACAAGCTGGAGAGATGGCTCAGTGGTTAAGAGCACAGCTGCTCTTCCAGAGGACCCTGGTTCAATTCCCAGCACTCACATGGCAGCTCACAACTGTCTGTAACTCCAGTTCCAGGAGATCTGGCATCCTCACACAGACATACACGCAGGCAAAACACCAGTGCACATAAAATAAAAATAATTAAAAAACAAAACAAAACAACAAAAACAAGCCAGGTGGCAGTGGCACATGCCTTTGAGAAAAGAGACAAAACAAAAACAAATACTAACTTACTCATTGATAGTTAAGAGTTTGAGAAAGTTTATCTTGGATACCTCTTAAGAAGCCTCCAAGATTCCTTTATAAGGCACACTTACATATCATGGTCAGATTCTGTCTTGCTGCTATCTTTTCATTCATCTTCTGGTTTATGTAATTGTGAATTGTCAGTTTTTTCCCCATTATATAGACAAAGTAATAAAAAAAATCTGCAAATATTAACCACATTCAGTGAAAACTAAAAGCAGATGAAGTTCGAGACATACCATCACAAAATATGTCACTTTGATATAAAGAGTGTTTTGAGTTAAAGGCAATTGAGAATCAACAGATGGAGGAAGAATTCTTCTCTCTTTGCCTTAGGGCAGGACTTGAATTTCGCTATCTGAAAGAGGTTAATTTGCATAAACATACCTTGCTAAAATAGCTCTTTTTCTTTGTTAGTCTCCTTTCAGTCTTTTAGTTTTAGTTTTTGTTTTGTTTGACAGAATTTTATGTATCTCAGGCTGGTCTAGTACTGGTACTATGGCCAAGATGACCTTGCTTCCTGAGTTCTGAAATTTAAGGCATATGACTCCATATCCAGTTTCTAGTACTTTATTCTTGCTCAGATCCTAAGCTCGTTTCTGTTAAAATGATACGCAAATCTCCAAATTTAGCCACATTTGTGTGCCTTTTCTTTAAGTTTAATTCACAGGCCACTAGGTACTGAGTGTGAGTAGAAGGTTTGTGTTCCCTGACACAGACTACAAGGATGTCTGTCTTCTATACTGTTAAAAATCAGTGTAACATTTTGTGAAAACCCATAAGAAAGCTGGAAAGATCTTGCATTAGTCAGATTTACTTCACTCCTGTGTCCTTTTTCTAGGCAGTTGAATCATTCTTCAACTTTGGTTTTGTTTTTAGCATAGTTGAGAGTGAGCAATGGTAACCTAGAATGGTGGAAGTGGCGGGAAAAATTTCAGATGTAGGAATGATGGAAATCAGTAAGGTCCCACGATGTGTTTTAATATGTGAAAGGATACTTCTGCAGAGCCATGTAAGCTAGAGTGAGTTTGATTCTGTTTAAAGCAGTAAGGGCGATGAGATGGCTCAGGGGTAAAAGTGTTTGTTGCCAGGCCTGTTGATGTGAGTTGGATTCGTTGGGCCAACATGGTGGAAGGAGAGATCTGACCCTACACGTTGTCTTCTTGTATAATTTTAGCAGGACCAGACTTAATATTATACATCCCAGGGGCTCAGGAGAGAGAACTACTCACAGCAAGGACTATTTTAGGGAAATAGAATCTCAGCACACCGAGATCTCTAGTCTACTTGCTTTAATTCCTCTGGTATAACATCCTATATACACAGCTTCAGTTCTATTTTCGTGCCTAGCTCCTTTCTTGCCTGATTTCTCTCTGTTTATCTACCGCTCCCTCTTAAGTTCTATCTTAATTCTCTCATCTTAATTCTGCCTCATCTAGTTTTCACCTTGTTCTTACCCAGCTAGGACTTTCCTATCTGACTCTTCCTCATCTTTCATCTCGTTCCTCTAGTCCTCTCTTCTAGCCCTTCAATCTAGTTCTTCCCCATCTCAGTTGGTTCCCCTCAAGTTCTTACCCATCTAGTTCTTCCATTCTCTTTTCTCTGTGCCATGCCCTGGAAGTCCCAGTATATAAAGGGAGGGTCCGAGCTAAATTGTATAAAGCTATTACTTAATGTCCACCTCACCTAGGCGGTGTCTCCTTGTGGAATTTACCTTAAGTCAGGAGACTTGCATGTGGGCTGCTATCACTGTTAGTCATTGAAACTTGGGCGCCCACCTGGGCAATGTCTCCTGTTAGTCCTT